CAAAAAGTTTGAAAAAAGGGGGGGGGGGGGGTAAGAAGATCTTTTCCATGTTGGAGTAAATTGTGCTGCATGCGTAAATCTGAGGCAATTCAGCAACAGGTGCATATACATCTTACTGACAGTTACATAAATCTGTTACGCCATACGTTGGTGCATGTACTACGTGATTTATGAATTCCAAGTAATGTGAAGGGAGTTGGGCTTTAACATCAATACCATTAAAGTGATATTAAAGTAACTGTTAGTAGATGGACCGCTGCTGGAGACTGCTCTGTCCCTTTTGTACTGGACAGGAAGTCCAGGGAATAAGAGCTGAGAAAGCTGGATCCAGTTGTTTAGAAACATGATGACTGTATGTGCTTGGCCAAACATATAAACAAATACTGCTGGGCAATGCATTTTCCTTTGATCTGGATTCAATATTGAAAACAAGCTTGAGAGTTTAATACTACTTTAATATGATATCAATAATTGAACAGTACCCAGGTGGTTGCTAGGTTTGTCATGGCAGGTACTGAATCATTCAGTCCTTGTCACAATAAGCTTCCTGAACTCGCGAGCCACCAGGCTGCTGTCATTTACCAGTGAAAGACACTGTGAGCAGGAAAGCAAATAAATGCTATCAAATTCATATCAAGCAGTATGCCAATATCATTTTTCAACTGGTCCTTTCATTACAGAAAGCAATATACTCTGTATACTGCAAAAAGTACACAGTAATTCATGACAACCAGTCATAGTAGCTGGACTTGCCATGTATATTATAGGGAACATTTAGAAATGTTAATTGTGCCTAAGCAGAACCCTGAAAAAGTAGCCTTCCGTTTAATTGCCTCCTAAAAAAAGCAATGCATTTCAGGGTGTATTAGCATAGGCACGGCTGTCCTGTCACCTCATAGCTGTATATCTGCAGTGTGAGATCTAAGGCTCTGCTGCCTCCGATTGCTAGTTTTAGGAGATTACGAGTGAGATTCAGAGATGGAATTACTATGCTACTCACTGTTTTCCTTGCTGGAGGATCCGATAAGAGGAATATAAAAACCCTGCCAACATGACTGTCTCCACACAGAGACTCAGTGCAGAGAAAGATATAGTAAATCAGTAATGGGGTGAGATCAGTTGCAGGGAGACTACAGTCAATACCGATAACAGTTCTAAAAAAACACCTTAAATGGTCTTCCTGGAATAGATAAATAAAATTAAACATAAGAGATGAAATACTTAAGTAGAGGAACTGCCATTCTAGACTCCAGTCTGTGCACATTACATGAGCAAACACCTAGACATTTGGTCATGTGATCTCTGTTTAAAGAACACATCACCCCAGCCTTGGGGTTTGAACAGGGAACATAGAAAACAATTGTTTCCTACTTGCCCTTATGGTGACTGGCAAACCCCAGACACTCTACATTGTGTGAACGAGTCCTAAAAGTAAATGAAATGTCTAGGCGGCTAATCATGTGATCAGGATTAGAGGGAGCCTGGAGGAGCATTTTTCCACAAAACATATTTTATCCCCTCTGTTATTCTTTATTTACCTTTACCAATAAGACCACATTCCCCACTGTCCTAAAATCTAAACTGCAACACAATCCTCTGTGATACTTATGTGTTTGTGGTTCCAAGATCACTTTAGGTCAGGGGTGGGCAACTCTAACTCTCCAGCTGCTGTGGAACTACAAGTACCATGAGGCATTGCAAGACTCTGACAGCCACAGGCATGACTACAAGAGGCATGGTGGAATTTGTAGTTTCACCACAGCTGGAGGGCCAGAGATGCCCACCTCTGCTTTAGGTTCTGGTGCCAGAAGTCACAAGGGAAACGTATGTTCAAGCAGAGCCACTAATAGGCTGCTCAGGCAAAGGCAGCTAATCAGTAGCTCCCCCTGCACACAAATCCCATCTCTCTCTCCAGGTTGACATAAGGGTCAAATGACCCCAGCGTGGTTCACTGTAGGACAGTTAATGTGTTGTGTTAAGGCAGCCTCTTCATTTAAATGAGCCGACTAATGCACCACAACAGACCAAAAATCATGCTTGCTGCATTTGCTGAATTGCAGCACATGGTGGTGCATTACCGCAAGCTGCAGAACACTGCAACACTAGTGCATTGGGAAGGCATGCAGGGTGACAGTCAGCATGAACAGCACCGCATTGTACAAACACGTGTAGGGCACTGGTATGCGTAGGCTCTTACTTGGCAGGAGCCCAAACCTGCAGACAGGTAAATATACCAGAATTCTAGCAGCAGCTTACAATTTATAACAGCAAGGGGGAGGATAGCTTAGCAGGGGTAGCCAAACTCTGGCCCTCCAGCTGTGGTGAAACTACAAATCCCATGATGCATCTCTCTCCGGGAGTCATGTCTGTGGCTGTGAGAATCTTGCAATGCCTCAGCTGGAGGGCCGGAGTTTGGCTACCTCTGGCTTAGGGTTTAGGTCCATTTGGAATCATAACTTCAGCCAAAACGTTTTTGCATTAGTATTGGATAGAGAGGGAATGGTTAGAATCACTGGCCATTTGTATTTGGTCAGTGTGCACTACCTGGCTGTTTATGCCAAATTACTACATAAAAACCATATAGTAAGGCTGCTCGTCAGTTATTTAGTCTAGATTTGCTTTCAATATGGCCACACGTGGGATTGATCCAACCATTCAGAGCCTGTACTACAGAAAAGAATGACACAACAACCAGAACAGAGAGGGAACTACATATATCTATCAGCTCCCAATTGAAACACATATTAAAGGATATTTTAAGTAATATTAAAGTCAAAAGGTTTTTAAGCTCTTTCAAATGCTGATGTTTAAAAGTTTTAGGGGTCTATTCACAAAAGGCTGAAGAGTTGGGAGAAGGCAGGAGAAGTGAACAATCTAGGCCAAAATAGCCGATTTGGAAAAATTCTCCAATTCAGATCACTTTCCAGTTCGGCTATTTTGTCCTAGATTGTTCACTTCTCCTACCTTCTTCAAACTCTTCACCATTTTGTGAATAGACCCCTTAGTTTCCTGCAGAATCAGTTGGTTCCCTGAGCATTGGCCCTGATATCCTGTTTTAGGGGGAGTCCTTTCCCTTGCAGGGTTCTATGGAGCCACTCTTGTGTAAGTAAACTGTGCGTGTCAAATACACAGGCACAGAAAGGCAATCCATTCCCCTCCTCCCTGCTCCTCCATCCTCCCTTCTCCAAGCTAGCAGAGTGACAGCTGCTGGGAGACTGTTCTGTCTCTTGTGATACTGTACTCAACAGGAAGTTTAGAGAAATGTAGTGTGGCTGTTTGAAAAGAGGATGTCAGTAAGTTTATGGGAAAAATATATTTGTTTGAAATGGATTCATTATTGAAAAAAGTTTGAGAGTTTAATAAAGCACAAGAATAAAAAAAAAACTGCAGCTGCAGCTTACCAATCCTCTGATGAGGTGGTTGCATTTGTTTTCTTTTTTCAAGGCCAAGTACATTTTGTGCAAGTACAAGAAATTCCTATTGATCCTGCCAGAAATTCGGCCTCATTGTTAATTTCCTGTGCTCCAAAATGAAACCACAAACAAATGTTATCAGCCCTCCCAGCTCTCTTATGTGAGCTAGAAAGCACCACGCAACTACACCATGAAGAAAAGGAGAGAGGGAGGTATTTGTAGCCCAAACCAAGACTGTAGCCTAGGGTGACATCGCAGCTTCTCCATAGGTACAGTGCAGTGAGCAAGCACTGTTATCCTAGGACAGAAGGTGTGTTATTAACAGGATTACCATGGGGAAAATAAAGGAGAAAAAAATCCTGAAAGGAAAAGCAATGCAGCCGTGACAAGCTGCAATATATGACGTTTTGGGGTTTAAATAAGCTTTAACCCCTAAATGGAGAGACAGGTATTCATTATATAACGTGTTATAGTACTAACATCAGTCTAGGAGTCACAGGCTCATATGAATGCACTGAACAGCGAAGTGTATTATGAATACTTACCAGTGATTATTTCCAAGACTATCAGACAAACAGGTATGACGTGAATTTCAGCTCTACACACAGGCTGAGTTTAACAGATCCTAACACAAACCAATCCAAACAATACACGAACTCACCCCGGCAGTGATCCGCCTGAAGATTCAACGCTGACTGTGCACGGTGCCAATATTCCGATTATTTTGCCCAAGTCTGTCCCAGAGTTCACATTTTTCTACATCGCTGTGTAAAGATAAATCAACTTCCAAATGTAAAACTCAAATTTGCACTTCTGAGTATCCAGAGGCATTCAAAGTTCTGCTGCAGCTGGAAAAGGATCAAGATGCACAGGAAACAAGTAAAAACCCCACTATGCTGATTACAGATAAAAACATGTCAAACTTCCCCTGTGATGTAAGAAGTCAGAGCCCCAGGAATCCAATCCTTAAAAAAAAAAAAAAAAAAGCTATTTCCGTTTGTAGGGAGAAAAAAAAAAGCCAAGGCAGAGAAGGGACATCCATGTGCCATCGGGAGAAACAGTGCAGTGGGATTTCACATCACTTTTAGGCGATCATCAGTGCAGGAAAGGACTGGGATCCAGTGAATTCACAAATAGAGAGTAGGAGGTGGAATAAAAAGAATTTCTCTGAGCAGATGAGCAGTTGCTACATGTTGCAGCGAGTTCCTTCTCTGCACACAGGGATGTGTTACCTTCTGCCTGGAGGTGGACAGAGGGTGTGACAACACCAAGCCTGCAGCCAAGGGGGATGGGAGATCTCTTTTAAGGATAATAGATCTTTTGGGGATCTTAGGAAAGCCACAATAGCCCCCTCTGTGTCTTCTTACCCCTGTGTTATGTTAAACTCCTCCTTTTGTTCATCCCTCCTTTCCAGAGGAGGTGCTACCAACATTTGAGGAGTGTGTTTTCCCCTCTGCTCTTCCACCTTTGACTTGCTTCTTTTACAGGCACATAAAATAAAAACACAGCTCGCTCTATAGTTCCAGCTCAGCGCCACACAAGTTTCCAGCGTGTTTTCTGGGGAATAGGATTTAGTGTAACATTTTCAGTGTAAGATATTTTGAAATAATTCATCTATTTTTAAACATAAATCTGTTGTGATTTTACTTCTGCTCTCTCTTTTGCAGCGTACCACAGACAGCACGTAGTCGTCTGTCATGTTCGATTCACTTCATCGTTTTTTGTTTTTTTTCCGTGATGTCAGGAATAGGATATAGACACAAAAGGGCGTGAAGGAGAGGATAGGGCTCTGGGAGAAGAGGCAGAACTGCCCCTATGTGCCCTCTGCAGGGAAAGCATGAAAGCACAATCAACAGCTCCACACTCTCATAGGAAGTTGCAGTCAAATATTTACTGATCGTTCCTGGGCAGCACTGAAAAACATCTCTGCCATTATTAAAAGTATACCTTTCCCCCCAAAACAACAATTCACCAATAGATGCATAGACAGTCGCTGTCTTTTTAGATGTCAATTGCAGTTTATGACCTACAGTCTCCAGTGAACCTTGTGAGCTGTGCTTCTCGCATGCCTCCTCCAGCAACATCTGCTGAGTTCCCATGTGGGTATACCGCTCCTATAAATCAGGCACCCTGGACTACACATCCTTGTGCTTCTGCGTTGGAAGAGGCTGGTATGCACTGACAACTGTTGGACTATAGGGATGTTGTGTCCTGTAGTCTCACTTAAAGACGCCCGGAAAATAAAATATTAACCCTTGCAGTGGGGCTACCCCCGCACTGCGAGGGTTAGGTGCTTGTTTTGGTCTTGGTGCAAAAATAACAAAGTTATACTTACCTGATACTCGAGCTGGCCGGCTGTAACATTGCTCTCTACAGCCGGTCTCCTCCTCCGCTGCAGCGATGGTATGTCCCTTGGCGTCCTCATGTCCTATACACTATGTGTTGGGACTTAGGAGATCTTGAACGGCTGCAGTGGAGGGGGAGAGAGGCTGGAAGGACCGGCCATCTGGCTCCAAGGATTGGGCGAGTATAATTTAGAGCCTAGACGAAAACAAGCATTTAACCCTTGCAGCGGAGATAGCCCTAGTGCAAGGGTTAAGAAAACTTGTGCCCTGAGTTCTTCTTTAAAGGAGCATGTGTAACAGACTGGCAATGCCACTCCTAATTAAAAGGCAATGGCTTAGTGTTATCATCCTGCAACAAGAAACCTCCTCCACACAGCTGTAATTGGCAGAATCATCCAGTAAGGATCAATGTGAAGTAGTCTCCAAGTCCCTATTCCCACCATAGCGTTGCATGAATGCATGTCGCAGTTGAGCACATTCATGGGCGATCGCTTTCTGCTTTTGGCGCGCATCCCTATTGATTTCAATGGGCTCCTGAATGCGCTCCAAATGTGGGAAAGTAGTGTATGTAGTAAAATCTGCAACGTGTGTTCCGCATTGTTTCCTGCACGTTCACGCGCATTTGATTACATGTTTTCCCAGCCACGTTTGGGGTGCCATTACCTGCCATTCATGGAACAAGATGGTGTGATCGGGGCCTTTAATGAAATAATATAAGAAATTGCACTCTGCATTCAGCACTGTCCACAATTGCTGGTAAAACCAGCATAGGAGCCGAGTAACCATAAGTAATATTATACTAAACACCAAGTCACAAGTTTCAATCTTAGTGGCTGTCTCCACCCAAAACCAAAAAAATACACTCTTACTTTTCCTTTGCAGATAAAAGACAGGAAAGGCAATTCGTCCATCATTACATGTAAGCCATTCTTGAATCTCTTTACCAGGATCTCAAGTCCCCAGAGGTCACATGACTCTCCTGGTAAACGTGTCCACTATGCTCCTCCGATTGTATATCGGTTCCTTTTAATTTCATGTCTTCATTTATATTTTTCTCCAAATGTACATGCAGACAAACCTGTTCAGAAAAAAATGATAGTGACGGAGAGTTTGGAAATCCACATGGCTTAAATTTTAAACAACCTTTTGCTCCAACTGCTATACCACGTTGGCAGTGTTAGGCCAGGATCGCACCTTTGTTTTGTTGTAGCGCATAGTGATGCATCATGCACATTAGCCCTTTTCATTTTAAATGGCCCCTCAACGCACTAAGGTAAAACACCTGCGTTGTAGCACGTTGCATCACACGGCTATGCACTGTTGTGCGGTCTGTTCCCAAAAAAGGTCAGACGAGGTTTCCTGTGCACTAGGGTGTGTTGGGAGCCCATTCAAAAGGTATTGTCTGCCTTTTCCCTTTTGCTACCAGAGCCGATTTTTCATATATCTACTTACATATTTCCTGAAAGCAGGGACCCTGTCGAAAAAAATGGTGGTAGTTTCCATTTTTGTGTCACATGATATTTACGCTACTGTTTATCAAACCCACCTTTTAGTGCACACAAACATAATTGTTCAGTAAAATCTAAAAGACGAGGTTGCATCAAGTAAACAGATACCAAACACACCAAGCCTCAAAACTGTGTGCGCCTGTGAAACAGCGGAAAAACTATGGTAAACAAAATCACACATCAACTTAGAGTTAGAATTACTGCCCTCGCTCTGGCGTATGCGACGATATGCAACATGTGTGGCGCAGTTGACATTTTCCTACAAGTACAACCACAGCGTTTGCTGGGGAAGGGGGGTACCATGTTGGTGGTGATCAGGTGGCTTTACAGACAACCCAATTAATTCCACTAGAAAGCTGACAGTTGGCTGTGACAGTGTAGACAAATTCCATCTCAGATGCTTTAGCAGCTGGGAGTTTGTATACAAGCCTGTGCTGCTGCTAATGTATTACCTATGTCAGAGGGGGCAAAAGGGTTAAAGCTGAATTCTAGTATAAGCAAATGTTGTCGCAATATACGAGGCATGTTATTCCTACTTAAATCTTGGTCTGTGTAGTATGCCCACTATGCAGGAGATTCCTGTATTAAAGTCCGGTCACTGCTGCTCTCTCTTTATGCACGGTCACTGGTCTTGTATCTGCCCCTTCCTGTAGTTTTCTGCAGGCAGTCTGTAGTCCCTCCCAAAGCTCTGCTTTCTGCACAAGGTATGTGCAACACCGTTACCTGCTACTTTTATATGGTAATGCTGTATCTGGGTTTGCAATACTGTTTAGTGCATATAAGGTAGATTTATATCCCCTGTGGCTATTGAGGAATTTATGTAAATTAGAATTTTTGTGACTGGAGTTCAGCTTTAATGTAACATGCTTTAGCATCATATGTAACATGTTAATAGGTGTGCGTTAAAAGTGTATGTCAAGGCAAAATGTTAAAAAAAACAAAAAACTATTTAGCACATTTGCCCACGTATTATCCCTTTAAACATCCTGAAGTACGGAAAAATTATTGCTGATGTACCTGAAATATAATGAGCTCCTGTCTCTCTGACATGACAACACAGCTCTGAATTCCCAAGCATGTGGTGTCTGCCCTGCCTACTTCATTTCTGATGGATTACACAGAACACAGACTCCTCTTCATCTCTATAACTCCTCTTTGTGCACAGGCAGAGTGCACAGGAAGTTATCAGCTCACAACATTTCTTCCAACAGGTATTTGTTTGCACTTATCGCACAGATATAACAAAAGACTTTTAATGGTATATTTAGCAGACCAGGTGTAGGGTGTAACTGCGTGCAGCCACCTTGACATGTCTATGGGAGGACGCAGCTGCCTGCAGCTACATACCGACCTGAACATGCACAACAGTCTAAGCGTGTGCACCCGGATCTGCATGAATGTCGGCGATGGTGTGTACCTGCAGGCAGCTGCATCCTCCCTTAGAAATATACAGGTGGCTGATGCAATGACATGCTTCACCCGTCCCTCCCGGCAGCAGGTCTCTGCACAGGCTCTGTATGGATGTGCACGCCCATGTGAATGAATCCATAAGGATGAATTGCTTCAGAGTGCTCATACAACTCATTGACTGCTTGTTAATACTATGTAAATACTTGAGTGTCTATAACACTGTATGGAACATACAGCTTCACCCTCTCTTGCCAGAAGTCATAATAGAATTATCAATGTTGCTGGGAAGAGAGATCCCTTTCCTGTTATAGATAAAAAAAACAATTATAAGTCAGATATTCAGCGTCCGCTAACATATACTGTAAAGAGACCCACGGGCTAATTTAGTTAAATCCCGTTTTTGCTGACTTTTTCCAGAATTTGATGAATTTGGCATTGGAAGGTGACATTGCTGAGAAGAATTTGGCTCGTTTCCTTTTCCTAGATAAACCTGTTACTAGTGTAGCGTCAATTTTGCTTAATTTGCATACAAAACAATGACACCTTATAAGCATCAAGATTTTTTAGCAATTTTGCTTCACTCTGAAAACAGATGCTGTTCCTCAATCAATATACAAATACTTTCCCATGTCTTGTTCATGCGCACTGCTCACGTTTTTTAAACGTAACATATAGTGTTTGTGCATTTTCTCCTTTTGTATCTATTATATCTATGAGTAAGAATTAACAATTTAACATTTTTGCCATTTCCTCATGTTAACATGACATTTTGCATATGAACATTTCAGTTTACAATGAGCAACTAGCATGTGGGGCTTTGGTTTTAGGTTTTTGCATCTCTTTACTTTTACACTGTAAAAAGAATGTGATTGATTTCCTGCTGTTAGTTCTATTCAGCACACACAGCTAAGTCAGAAGAAAGACATATCCCTCCTCCTGGTCTCTAATTCATAGAGTTCTGCATGGCGTGTCCATACAAGCAAGATGGTCTAAAAGGAAGACGTTACTGTTGTTCTATCTTAATAGAAAGCACGGAATGCTTTGTGAAGGGTCAGAAATGTAGCCTGTATGAAACATTTGTTAAAAAAATAAAAGGTTTTATAGTAAGAAAAACAT